AATAATGTGGCTATCTGAAATAAGAAGCAAATTTAAAATCAATTTATTTTTAAATATTATAATAAAGCTATTTCTAAAATAATATGATGGTAATTTTTAATAAGAAAACATGCTTAAATTTTCTACTTTATTTATTTACTTTTATTGATTGAATTAGTAAAATTTATAAACGCCGTATTCCCTCGAAACTCGCAGTGCGTAAATTGTTAAATTACGAAATGAGGTTAGAGGTTTTATTTTAAATTTTTTTTCCTTATCTCGGAAGTTAAAAAAGTATCTTATCGAGGTAATACGGTATTTATTCTATTTCCAGATTTGTTATGATATAGATAAAATTAATTGACGATATTTTAAATTAATCAAATTTTCAGAATTAATTAGAAATAAGTGCGAATCAAGCAATCTAAATATTCTTACATAAGCAAAAGATAATTAATTTCTTCGAAATTTAAAAACCTAATAATTCATTTATCAAACAAAATTATTTTTTACTTTTATTAATAATTCATTCTAAAAATATTTAATTTGTGGTAAGATATTATTTTAATGAAGACGATTTTATTATTTTAAAAAAGATGATTGCCTTAAATTAAAAATTAGGGCTATTATTATGAGTTTAATTGTAAATTTATTATATTATATTTGATGTATTTATTTATGAACGCTTCTAAAAATTAAATACAATTTTTCCTTAAATTTTTAATTAATTAATTATCTTATTTTTTTAATTATTAAATCGATTTAATTTTTTTCAATAAAAATTTAGAATAAATATTTTAAAAATAAGACTTGATAAACAATATATCAAACACAAAAAAATCTTTTCATTTTTTTCATTATTTATTTTTGGTTTATCAAAAAATTTCTTCTTCTAAAACAATTTAAAATTATTTTTTATAATCTGATATATGATATGGTAGGTTGTTTTCTTTCAAAATTAAGTTTAATATTAAAAGAAATTTGATAGGGTATTTCTCAAACTCAAATGGACCAATTAATTTGAGAAATTTTTGTTGAGAATAATAATTAATTTTCATTAAATAATGGATGAATGAAGACTCATCCTTATTCCAAAATTAGTAAATAAAAGTAAACTACTAAAATATAAAAATAAATAAATATTTTAATTAAATTAGTTTTTTATTCTTGTATTTCAATTATTATTTATAATTCATTTTATTTATGTAAATTTATTTACATTAATTTTTCTGATTTATATTTGATTAAATTATTTTCTCTTTTTCTTAATATTTCATGAAATTTTTCAAATTTTAGTTTTAACTTTTAATAATTTATTGTTTTGCTTATTTTTTATATTCAAAACATTACAAACTTGTAATATGCATTTATTACATTAAAATAATTTTTTAATCATTTTTAAAGATTACTTTTACAACAAAAAAATTAAATCTCTTTAGAGCTAACTTATTTATTTATTTATTTTTATTTTTCAAGTAATTAGTGATTGATTTTCTTATTTGACCCTATTGTTAAAAATATAAAGCTCAAACATGTCTTTCTTTATTTATAACAAAATAAGCCACAATTTCTTAACTTTTTTTCAAATATTATGTATTGTTGGATCAAATTCTTTACAATTTTCAGGTATTAGTAAATTTAAGAAATCATATATTTTAACGCTACTAATAAATACAATTTTATATAAGACAAGCAACTATAATTTTAATCATAAAAAATATTTTTGTTTTAAATCCTAACTGATACACAGTAGTAAGTAAATTAGGTTATTTTAACAATATTAGATCAACTTGGTAAACAATTGGATGTTTTTCAGTTTAGGATAGCTTATTATTTATATTGACTAAATAAATGAAGAAACTAATTTTATTTATATTTTTGTAATATTTCATCAAATGAGGTTTTATAATGGATAAAATAAATTTGAATGAAAGAAAATAAATAAATAAATATCTATTTATGTAATCTAAATATATTTTATTTATCAAAATCTTTTTCATTTTATTTTTCTTCAATTTTTATATTCAATTTTTTTACCATTCATTTAAAATTTATAATAATAAAAATAAATAGCTTGAACATCTTAAAATATAAAAAAAATATTTTAAAAATCCATTTGTTTGGTTTTATTAAAACCACAAAAATTAAAATAAAAAGTAAAATTTAATTTCTCCCTGAGATTTTATTTAAATCGTGGTATCTAATAAATTAATCATGAAAAATAAAAAAAGGATAGAAATAAGATTAATGAATAATATTTAAGATTAAAATATAACTGGCATATAAAAGCTTATCATTTATATAATTTAATAAGATTTAATATAACACTAAAAGTATCAAATTATTTGATCGTTTTTGGAGAAACCGGCGAGTTTGCTTAAGAGGATTTAATTTATTTAAGTATATTTTATTTTTTAATTTTTTTATTTACTTACAAAAATATGAATGATAAATATAAATATAAAATGCAATAATAAAGTCAATATATCTATCTTTTATTATTTTAGGTTAAAAACACTTTTTCAAAATATTATATAATAAAATATATAATAATATTCAAACATTTTATATTTATTCATCCTTTTTTCACCATACGCTTGTGTAAAAATCATAGACAACTAATCTTTTTGATTTAAGAAACTTGTTCATTACTTTGCAATTTTATGATAAATTCATTTAGCTAAAACTTTTATAATAAATTTGTGTAAATTTTAAATAAATATCACTTTAGAATAAACTTTTAAATTTAAAATTATTCTTTAAATTAATAAATAGAATAATATTAGTGAGGAATAAAAATGATAAAAAAATAAATCAAATAAAAGTAATCAAATAAATTCAAAAAGCTTTATTGTTTTTAATTTGTTTTTGTAATTTAAAATATCACAATCCAATATAAATAAACTGTTTTTACCTAAGTTCAAGTGTCAATTTTGAGAGATTAATGCAATTTGCTAAAGCAGAACCTAAGCCTGATGCACCCTTTACACCAATTTAATTTTCACTTTTTAAATATTGAAGAAAAAATATATCATAAAATAGTTAATTAGAAGGAAAAAATGAAGAAAAAATATGAAATAATAAGATAGATTAATTAATAATAAAAGCAAAAGTTGAAAATAAAATGATGAGCTAAATTAGCAAAGAAAGAACAACAAAAAAAACGAAAAGAAAAAAGAGCTTTATTGTTTTTAATTAGTTTTTATAATTTAAAATATCACAATCCAAAACAAATAAACTGTTTTTACAAAAGATTAAGTGTCAAATTTGAGAGATTATTGCACTTTGCTAAACCAGAACCTAAGCCTGATGCACCCATTGCACCAATTGAATTTCTACTTTTTAAATATTGAAGAAAAAATATATCATTAAATAGTTAATTAGAAGGAAAAAATGAAGAAAAAATATGAAATAATAAGATTAATTAATTAATAATAAAAGCAAAAGTTGAAAATAAAATGATGAGCTAAATTAACAAAGAAAGAACAAAAAATAAAACAAACACAATAAAAAGAAAAAGAAAAAAGAGCTTTATTGTTTTTAATTAGTTTTTATAATTTTAAATATCATAATCCAAAACAAATAAACTGTTTTTACCGAAGATTAATTGTCAAATTTGAGAGATTAATGCAATTTGCTAAAGCAGAACCTAAGCCTGATGCACCTTTATAACCAATTTAATTGCCCCTTTTTAAATATTGAAGAAAAAATATATTATTAAATAGTTAATTAGAAATAGAAAATGAAGAAAAAATATGAAATAATAAGATTAATTAATTAATAATAAAAGAAAAAGTTGAAAATAAAATGATGCGCTAAATTAACAAAGAAAGAACAAAAAAAAAGCAAGCAAAATAAAAAGAAAAAGAAAAAAGAGCTTTATTGTTTTTAATTAGTTTTTATAATTTAAAATATCACAATCCAAAACAAAATAAACTGTTTTTACCTAAGGTAAAGTGCCAAATTTGAGAGATTAATGCAATTTGCTAAACCAGAACCTAAGCCTGATGCACCTTTATAACCAATTTAATTGTCCCTTTTTAAATATTGAAGAAAAAATATATTATTAAATAGTTAATTAGAAATAGAAAATGAAGAAAAAATATGAAATAATAAGATTAATTAATTAATAATAAAAGAAAAAGTTGAAAATAAAATGATGCGCTAAATTAACAAAGAAAGAACAAAAAAAAAGCAAGCAAAATAAAAAAGAGCTTTATTGTTTTTAATTAGTTTTTATAATTTAAAATATCACAATCCAAAACAAATAAACTGTTTTTACTAAAGGTCAAGTGTCAAATTTGAGAGATTAATGCAATTTGCTAAACCAGAACCTAAGCCTGATGCACCTTCATCACCAATTTAAAAAACTTTCCAAAAACTTTAATTAAGATTCGAAAAAAACGAAGCTAAAAAGTAAAACAGAGAAGTACAAATTAATTAAAATATCAGTCGAAAAACAAGAAAAAGTCAAACAAACTATTAAAAGATATTTCGCAGTGCGCAATGTGCGCACTTAAAACATAATTACCATTAATAATAAAAGCAAAAGTTGAAAATAAAATGATGAGCTAAATTAACAAAGAAAGAACAAAAAAAAAAAGAAAGCCCAATAAAATAAAAAGAAAAAAGAGTTTTATTATTTTTAATTAGTTTTTATAATTTAAAATATCACAATCCAAAACAAATAAACTGTTTTTACTAAAGTACAAGTGTCAAATTTGAGAGATTAATGCAATTTGCTAAACCAGAACCTAAGCCTGATGCACCCTTTGCACCAATTTAATTTTAACTTTTTAAATATTGAAGAAAAAATATATCATTAAATAGTTAATTAGAAGGAAAAAATGAAGAAAAAATATGAAATAATAAGATTAATTAATTAATAATAAAAGCAAAAGTTGAAAATAAAATGATGAGCTAAATTAACAAAGAAAGAACAAAAAAAAAAGAAAGCACAATAAAAAGAAAAAGAAAAAAGAGTTTTATTATTTTTAATTAGTTTTTATAATTTAAAATATCAGAATCCAAAACAAATAAACTGTTTTTACTAAAGGTCAAGTGTCAAATTTGAGAGATTAATGCAATTTGCTAAAGCAGAACCTAAGCCTGATGCACCCATTGCACAAATTTTATTTCTACTTTTTAAATCACCAATTTAATTGTCCCTTTTTAAATATTGAAGAAAAAATATATCATTAAATAGTTAATTAGAAGGAAAAAATGAAGAAAAAATATGAAATAATAAGATTTATTAATTTATAATAAAAGCAAAGTTGAAAATAAAATGATGAGCTAAATTAACAAAGAAAGAACAAAAAAAAAAAGCACAATAAAAAGAAAAAGAAAAAAGAGCTTTATTGTTTTTAATTAGTCTTTATAATTTAAAATATCACAATCCAAAACAAATAAACTGTTTTTACTAAAGATAAAGTGCCAAAATGTAATGTGCTAAATCTGATGCACCTTCATCACCAATTTAATTGTAACTTTTTAAATATTGAAGAAAAAATATATCATTAAATAGTTAATTATAAGGAAAAAATGAAGAAAAAATATGAAATAATAAGATTAATTAATTAATAATAAAAGCAAAAGTTGAAAATAAAATGATGAGCTAAATTAACAAAGAAAGAACAAAAAAAAAAGAAAGCACAATAAAAAGAAAAAGAAAAAATTTTTCAAAAAAATGACATTTTATCATAAATATTATTTCAAATTTTACATTTTGTGAATTTAAAGCTTTCTAAAAACTCAAAAATAAAGCTGCTATAAGCTAATTTAGCTTTATTTATTATGTTATTAAGATATATTACATTTTGCCTTTTATAAATTAAATAGGCATTTTACTCTATTAATTAGGTGGAAAAAATGAAGAAATAATATGAAATAGTAAGATTAATCAATAAAATCAACAAAGAATGAAAAAATAAGAAATCATAATAAAAAGAAAAAGGAAAGCAAATCAAATAAATTAAAAGATCTTAAATTTTTTAAATTAACTTTTATAAATAAAAATATTACAGTGCAAAAAAAATAAACTGCTTTTATTAAGTGTTGGTTTTAATAGCAAAAAACGAAGAAAAAATATCAAATAATAAATTATTAAAAATTGAAATGAAAATTTTGTTAAAATAGCTAAAAAATGTTTGTTTTTGTAAAAATCAATAAATTGATGATAATCTCTTTTATAAAAATTATTTATTTAAATAAATTGAAAATTAAATGTACAAAAAATATTAACAATAATAAAAGTAATTTTTTTAATTAATTATACTTCAGATCAATATGGAGAACCTAATGAGATAAAAGTGAAGAGCTTAAAAACTTTTTTTATTAATTTATATAAATTTAAAGGATATTAATAAAAAAATTAATAATTACTTCTTCCAAATTATTATATTTTTTAATCTATTACATCATTTATTTTTTTTCAAAAATATTGAATAGCAATTTATGAAATTTAATTAATTAATTAATTTTAAATGGATAAAAAGAACAAATAAATATAATAATTAATTAATTAATTATCAAATATTAATTTATATATTTGGTACTATGAAGAGATATCACAAAAAAATTAATTTAATATTTACTATAGAGAATATACAATTGGAGCATTTTAGGGCCAATAGGTAAAAAAAGTATTACCTATCATAAAATAGATTTAGAAAAAAAAATATTCATTATTTATATAAAAATTATTTGAAGTATCACAAATCATGATATTTCAAATGCATCTATATGTGATTTTATTAAAATTAGATAGGTAACTTTTAATATTTTAAAAAAACTATTTTTTTTGCTTTAAGAAAAGATCCATACATAAATTAGAAGCTTAAAGTTAATGTTTAAGAGATGATGTAAATAAAATATCTTATGATTTCAGTATAAATATTGGCCAAAATTTTGCTTATTTTTCATATTTATCAGAGCAAATACTTTAGAATCTAAAAAATAAGGACAGAGGTTAAATAAAATTTAATATCTCTAGTTAAGAGTTTTAAGCAAACCTTTATAATCCAATTATATCTTTGAAATAAATTAAATTTTCCAGTATAAGCTTTAAAAATATTTTTAATTATTTTTTAAAGATAGAAATTCAATAAATAGATTCTAAAAAGAAAAATATTTATTTGGTTTGAAAATTGTAAACTATTTTATTTTAAGAATTCATAAATTAAAAACTAATATTCAGAATTCTATATAATTTTATGTATTTTTAAGTGGTGTATTAAAGTATTTATTTATTTATTTAGTTATCTATCTTTTTCTTATATTATTGAATTTTCACTAATAAAAATATTTTAGCTTATTAAAAAAATGTATTTTTAGAATATTTATTTGAGAAAAAAATCATGAGAAAAATTAGAACAAATTATTAAGACAGACCTAATAGTTAGTTTTCTTTACACTAACTTTACTCAACCAATAAAATATAAAATACATATTATGACTATTATTTTTTTCTGAATTACTCATTTTTATTATTCAAATCTCAATATTTAAATTTATAAACAAATTCATTCAACTATTATCATTCATTTATTTGATTTTTTATTTCCTCCTTACTTTATTTTTCAAAATTAATCAACTATTAATGCTTCTTTTAAGATATATTTTTGTTAGTGATTATATAAATTGAAATATAAGCATAGATCTTTTTAAGATAGATTTTATTTATATTAATCTTAGATTTCTACTTAATAGGAATAATCTGGGTAATTTAATACCTCAACTTACTATCTTTCTAGCCAAACTCTCAACTCTAAAGTACTATTTTCATCTAGCAATTATGTCTTATCTCCTTTTACAAATTTATCTATTCCATCACCTCCTGAGTATTTCATCTTATTATTTTCAAATCTAAAATAGTAGCTCATTTGATCATAATGTCCTAAATTTTTATTGAAATTCTCATTTTTCATTAATCCTATCTTAAAATAACCCTAATCTCCCTTTTGAAATTAAATCCTAAATATGTATTTTTTATCTCTTTCCAATATCTAAGAAATGCAATTACTATAACAATTTTTGTAACGCCCTTAGTACCTAGCTTCATTTGTAGAAATTTCAAATTAGTTATTCATATTTTTGACTATTTCTATTCTCTAGTTTCCATCATAAAAACTGCTTTTCTAAAATTATAATTCATTCAAGATATTCTTCCCTTTTAACAATAATAAATCAAAGATTGGAAATTGTTTTAAGGTATTTTCAAATTCAGGTTTTTTAAATCTAAATGATTCTAGTATTTTTTATTGAACTATATATGTCTAACTGTTATCAAAGTTTTATTGGTTTTCATTTAGAATCTATTTCTTTTTTACTATTTTAACAAACTCTTTTATATAATTTGATTCTAGACTCCTCAAAATGTTAAAGCTTTATTCTTCAGAGAACATTTGGTCTGTGTTTATATTTTTTGAAAATGGATATGTTTCTATTAAGTATCTCATCATGTTATCTCGATAATTATTTGAGATAAAATTGAATTTATTATCAAAAACATTAAGTAGATTTGATATTTAAAATGAATTCTTAACTGATTAGAGGTGTTAAGGATCATCTTATATTTAGATCAAATGCTCAACATATTCATTTACACTGTTTATTTTTTCATCATTTAATTCTGAAAATCGGATAGATTTTTTACCTTCTTAATTCATTTTGTCAAATGAAATTTATTCAAAAAAGAGACTTAGTTTTTACATTTATTGTCTAATTTGATTCAAAAACACTTCACTGCAATAATTTGTTTTGTTAGAAATTAATTTCATTAATTAATCTATTTTACTATTATCTTGTTATGGTAAAATATTATTATTTAAGTTATTATCAGCCCTGACTTGACTTTATATTTAATCTTCAAAAAAGTTAAACTAATCTAAAAAATCTAATAAAAATACTTTGCTTTTGTTTAATTTGTCAAAATCGATTAATTGTTGAATATTATCGCATTAATTGAGCAAATCTTAGAGCAGCTGTGTATTTTTACCTTTATTTAACTCTATTTACTAAATGAATTCTTTACATTACTTTTGGTAGAGCGCAAAAGACTTATTCTAATCTTAAAGGAGCAGTGATTTTAAGTTTTGAATTTAAGAAATTTCTTGATACCTTTTCAAAATTTACTCTTTACCAAAAGGCATTTCGAGAGCTTAATTGATTGCTTTTTTCTAAGCAACATCGATTTTTTTAATGATTTCATCTTTTAGCAAAGTGAAGTATGAATTGATTTAATTGAGGATGCTTTATGTAGAATTGAGATTCATAGCTTTCAAATGAATATTCTGAACGATCTGCTAATCATTGAGAGGTGGCCATTTATAATGAAAATCAGAATCTGAATTTTCAATAATTTTTTAGATGAGCATGTAATTGGCACCTCTAAATTGCAAATCTTATTCAAAGCAATCAACACATTAGAATATGTTAGAGTTAGGAAGGGATGAAATTTCATTAACTTAGATAAAAGCAAGTTTATTTTGAGGATGAAAGTTACAATTTTATTGAATAGGAATACTGTTTGGAGCTAATTAATCCATTTTATATGAATAAGCTTAGATATATTTATTACAAAATTTAAACTCTTAAATTTTTGCTTTAATTTATTAAATAAAAATCAGGAGATTGAAATTTTATCATATAAAGTATAAATTATATAAGTAAATAAATAAATAAATATTATATATATCTATTAGAATATTTAATGTATCTTTAAAAATAAGAAACAATATTCTAGTTAAAAACATTTAATTTTATATTGGATTTCAATACTCAACCAATAAAATATAAAATAAATAATATATATGCCTATTATTTTTTCACTACATTGTATTTATTATTAATAATTATCATTCGAATCTTTATATTTAAATAAAAAAACAAATTTAACTATATTTTTAAATCATTCATTCATTTATTTGATTTTAAATTTCCTCCTTACTTTATTTTTCAAAATTAATCAACTATTAATGCTTCTTTTAAGATATATTTATCTTAGTGCCCCAATAAATAGAAAAATAAACATAGATCTTTTTAAAATAGATTTTATTTATATTAATCTTAGATTTCAACTTAATAGGAATAATCTGGGTAATTTAATACCTTAACTTACTATCCTTCTAGCCAAACTCTCAACTCTAAAGTACTATTTTCATCTAGCATTTGTGTCTTATCTCCTTTTACAAATTTATCTATTCCATTACCTCCATAGTATTTCATCTTATTATTTTCTAATTTAAAATAGTAGCTCATTTTATCACAATATCCACAATTGCTATTGAAATTCTCATTTTTCATTAATCCTATCTTAAAACAACCCTTATCTCCCTTTTGAAATTAAATCCTAAATATGTATTTTTTATCTCTTTCCAATATCTAAGAAATGCAATAAATAGAATAATTTTTATATTGCCCTTAGTAGTTAGCATGATTTATAGAAATTTCAAATTAGTTATTTATATTTTTAACTATTTCTATTCTCTAGTTTCCATCATATAAATTGCTTTTCTAAAATTATAATTCATTCAATACATTCTTCTCTTTTAACAATAATAAATCAAAGATAGGAAATTGTTTTAAGGTATTTTCAAATTCTGGTTTTTCAAATCTAAATGATTCTAGTATTTTTTATTGAACTATATATGTCTAACTATTATCAAAGTTTTATTGGTTTTCATTTAGAATCTATTTCTTTTTTACTATTTTAACAAACTCTTTTATATAATTTGTTTCTAGATTCCTCAAAATATTAAAGCTTTATTCTTCAGAGAACATTTCGTCTGTGTTTATATTTTTTGAAAATGGATATGTTTCTATTAAGTATCTCATCATGTTATCTCGATAATTATTTGAGATAAAATTGAATTTATTATCAAAAACATTAAGTAGATTTGATATTTAAAATGAATTCTTAATTGATTAGAGGTGTTAAGGATCATCTTATATTTTGATCAAATGCTCAACATATTCATTTACACTGTTTATTTTTTCATCATTTAATTCTGAAAATCGGATAGCATTTTTACCTTCTTGATTCATTTTGTCAAATGAAATTTATTCAAAAAAGAGACTTAGTTTTTACATTTATTGTCTAATTTGATTCAAAAACTCTTCACTGCAATAATTTGTTTTGTTAGAAATTAATTTCATTAATTAATCTATTTTGCTATTATCTTATTATGGTAATATATTATTATTTAAGTGATTTTCAGAGCTGACTTGACTTTATGTTTACTCTTCAAAAAAGTTAAACTAATCTAAAAAATCTAATAAAAATACTTTACTTTTGTTTAATCTATCAAAATCAATTAACTGTTGAATTTAGTCGCATTAATTGAGCAACTCTTAAAGCAGCTGAGTATTTTTACCTTTATTTAATTCTACTTACTAAATGAATTCTTTACACGATTTTTGATAGAGTGCAAAAGACTTATTCTAATCTTACATGAGCAGTTATTTTAAGTTTTGAATTTAAGATATTTCTTGATATCTTTTCAAAATTTACTCTTTGCCAAAAGGCATTTCGAGAGCTTGATTGATTGCTTTTTTCTAAGCGACATCAATTTTTTAAATGATTTCATCTTTTAGCTAAGTGAAGTAAGAATTGATTTAATTTAGGACGCTTTATGTTGAATTGAGATTCTTAGCCTTCAAATGAATATTCTGAATGATCTGCTAATCATTGAGAGGTGGCCATTTATAATGAAAATCAGAATCTGAATTTTCAATAATTTTTTAGATGAGCATGTAATTGGCACCTCTAAATTGCAAATCTTATTCGAAACAATCAACACATTAGAATATGTTAGAGTTAGGAAGGGATGAAATTTCATTAACTTAGATAAAAGCAAGTTTATTTTGAGGATGAAAAATACAACTTTATTGAATAGGAATACTATTTTGAGTTAATTAATCCATTTTATTTGATTAATTGAATATTCTTTAGTTAGATATATTATTTATTACAAAACTTAAAATCTTAAATTTTTGATATTGTTTTGATTTATTAAATAAAAATCAGAAGATCGAAATTTTATCATAGAAAGTAAAAAAGAAATAAGTAAATAAATAAAAATTAAATATATCTATTAGAATATTTAATGGATATTTTAAAATAAGAACTATTATTCTAATTTAAAATATTTTTAATATGGATTTAGATTAAAACACACCTAAAATCTAATTTGTTTTACAATCTTTTATTGAACTAATAAAATATAAAATACATATAATGCAATTTATTTTTATTTACTCTATTGTTTTTATTATTAATGATTATAATTTAAATTTCTATGCTTAAATTAAAATACAAATTCAACTATTATTTTTAAATCATTCATTCATTGATTTATTTAATTATTTCATTTTTAATTTCATCCTTATTTTAATTTTCAAAATTACTCAACTACTAATGCTTCTTTTAGGATATATTTTTGTTATTGACCACGTAAATACAAATATAAACATAGATCTTTTTAAGATAGATTTTATTTATATTCATCTTAGATTTCAACTTTATAGGAGTAATATGGGTAATTTAATACTTCAACTTACTATCCTTCTAACCAAACTCTCAACTCTAAAGCACTATTTTCATCTAGCAATAATGTCGGATCTCCTTTTACAAATTTATCTATTCCATAATATCCTAAGTGATTTATCTTATTATTTTCTAATCCAAAATAGTAACTCATTTAATCATTATATCCCTAAAAGCTATTGAATTGTTCATTTTTCATCAATCCTATCATAAAATAACCATAAGAATCCTTTTGTAATTTAATCCTAAATATGTATTTTTTATCTCTATCCAATATCTAAGAAATGCAATTCGTTTCACTGCCTTTATAATTCCCTTAGTAGTTTGTTTCATTTATAGAAATTTCAAATTAGCTATTCATATTTTTAACTATTTCTATTCGTTAGTTTCCATCATAAATAGTGCTTTTCTAAAATTATAGTTCATTCAAGATACTTTTCCCTTTTAATAATAATAAATTAAATATAGGAAATTGTTTTAAAATATTTTCAAATTCAAATTTTTCAAAACTAAATAATTTTAGTATTTTTTATTGAACTCTGCATATTTTACTATCATCAAAATTTTATTGATTTTCACTTAGATTCTATTTCTTTTTTACTATTTTAATAAGCCCTTTAATATAATTTGTTTCTAGACTCCTCACAATATTAAAGCTTTATTCTTCAGTGAACATTTGGTCTGTGTTTATATTTTTTGAAAATGGATATGTTTCAATTAAGTATCTCATTAAGTTATCTCGATAATTATCTGAGATAAAATTGAATTTATTATCAAGGACATTGAATAGATTCGATATTTAAAATGAATTCTTAACTGATTAGAGGTGTTAAGGATCATCTTATAATTTGATCAAATGCTCAACATATTCATTAACACTGTTTATTTTTTCATCATTTAATTCTGAAAATTGTATAGATTTTTTACCTTCTTTATATATTTTATCAAATGAAATTTATTCAATAAAGAGATTTAGCTTTTACATCTATTGTCTAACTTGATTCAAAAACTATTCACTGCAATAATTGGTTTTGTTAGAAATTAAATTCATTAATTAATCTATTTTACTATTATCTTGTTATGCTAATAAATTATTATTTAAGTGATTATCAGAGCTAACTTGGCTTTAAGTTTAATCTTCAAAAAGGTTAAGCTAATCTAAAAAATATAATAAAAATACTTTGCTTTTGTTTAATCTATCAAAATCGATTTATTGTTGAATTTAGTCGCATTGATTGAGCAACTCTTAAAGCAGCTGAGTATTTTTACTTTTATTTAATTCTACTTACTAAATAAATTCTTTACACGACTTTTGGTAGAGCTCAAAAGACTTATTCTAGTCTTATATGAGCAGTTATTTTAAGTTTTGAATTTAAGATATTTCTTGATACCTTTTCAAAATTTACTCTTTACCAAAAGGCATTTCAAGAGCTTGATTGATTGCTTTTTTCTAAGCGACATCTATTTTTTTAATGATTTCATCTTTTAGCTAAGTGAAGTAAGAATTGATTTAATTAAGGATGCTTTATGTTGAATTGAGATTCATAGCCTTCAAATGAATATTCTGAACAATCTGTTAATCATTGAGAGGTGGCCATTGAGAATGAAAATCAGAATCTGAATTTTCAAAAATTTTTTAGATGAGTATGTAATTGTCACCTCTAAATTGTAAATCTTTTTCGAAGCAATCAATACATTAGAATATGTTAGAGCTAGGAAGGGATGAAATTTAATTAACTTAGATAAAGGCAAGTTTATTTTGAGGATGAAAGATACAATTTTATTGAATAGGAATACTATTGGGAGCTAATTAATCCATTTTATTTTATTGATTGAATATGCTTAGTTAGATATATTTTTTATTATAAAACTTAAAATCTTAAATTTTTGAGATTACTTTGATTTATTAAATAAAAATTAGAAGATTGAAATTTTATCATAGAAATTATAAAAGAAATAAGTAAATAAATAAAGATTATATCTATTAGAAGGTAAATTTTAAAAGTATTATTCTAATTAAAAATATTTTTAAATTGGATTTCGAAAAGAAAAAAAAAATTGTATTTTTAAAAACTGAAAGGAAAAAAAAATTAGAAAAAAATACTAAATTGAAAAGAATTTAATCCTGTAAATAGATGAAATGAAAACCAAAAAAATTTTTTATTGTAAAATTTTTTTCCATTTTATAATCAAATAATTCGAAAGTACAATGTAAAATTTTGATTGCTTGTAAATAAAAAGTTATGAAGTTTATAAATTAATATTTGATAATTATTATTTTGTATTGTATTTGTTCTTTTTATCCTTTTATAATTAATTAATTAAATTCGACAAATTGTTATTCAATATTTTTGAAAAAAAAGAAATGATATAATAGATTAAATATTACAAAAATTTAGAAGAAGTAATTATTAATTTTTTCATTAATATCCTTTAAATTTATTTAAATTAATAAAAAAAGTTTTAAAACTCTTCACTTTAATCTCATTAGGCTCTCCATATTAAGATGAAGTATATTTAATTAAAATATTATTTTTATTATTATCAATATTTTTTAATAGATATTCTCATCATTATTCATTGATTTTTATTAAAACAAACATTTTTTAGATATTTTAACTTAATTTTTATTTCAATTTTCATTTTTAAATTATTTATTTTTTCCTTTTTCTTTTTATTGTACTAGCTTTTTTTTTCGTTCTTTGTTAATTTAACTAAATTAATTAATTAATCTTATTATTTCATATTTTATCTTCATTTTTTCCTTCTAATTAACTATTAAATTATATCTTTTTTCTTCGATATTTAAAAAGTTCTATTTTAATTGGTGATGAAGGAGTATAAGGCTTAGCTTCTGGTTTAGAAAAGTGCATTAATCTCTCAAATTTGACACTTTAAGTTGGGTAAAAACACTTTATTTATTTTGGATTGAGATATATTTAATTATAAATATTAATTAAAAATAATAAATTTATTTTTTGTTTTTATTGTGCTTGCTTTTTTTTCTTCTTTCTTTGTTAATTTAACTCATCAATTTATTTTCTACTTTTGCTTTTATTATTAATTAATTTTATTATTTTATATTTTTTCCTTATAATTTTCTTTTTTATTTATATATTTTTTCTTCAATATTTAAAAAGTTTTAATAAAATTGGTGATTTAGGTGCAACATTTTTAGGCTCTAGTTTAGCAAAGTGCATTAATCTCTCAAATTTGACACTTTACCTTTCGTAAAAATAGTTTATTTATTTTTAATGTGATATTTAATTATAAAAACTAAATTAAAACAATTAAGCTCTTTTTTATTTTTCTTTTTATTATGCTTGGTTTTTCAATTTAACTCATCATTTTATTTTCATTTTTTGCTTTTATTATTAATTAATTAATCTTATTATTTCATATTTTTCCTTCATGTTTGTCCTTCTAATTAACTATTTAATTATATATTCTTTCTTGAATTTTTAAAAAGTTCTAATAAAATTGGTGATACATACATACATACATACTCGCACATGGTTACATGCACTCGGGATAGGGGCCCTATATATAATTACTTATACATTATTATTATACGTATACCAATTTATTTATATATAATTGTGGGTAATATACTAGAAGGGAAGGGTCACCTACACCCTAATGGCATTTCTACTAATCTTCCATGATTTGACTACGCATTATGCTCGCTTCCCATTTGTATTCCAGATCTTCTGTTCAGAATGGGGCCTCCTCTTTACCACCTATCAGATTTGGCCCTTCCCTCCTACCAAGGAGACCGCTGGTAACATTCACATTTTTACATGGAATTTTTCGAAATAAAGGGGGCGGTATAGGATTCGAACCCCCGATATCACTGCTAAGACCCTCCGACTCGCCCACTCGAGCCGCTTAGCCCTAAAATTGGTGATGAAGGTGCATCAGGCTTAGGTTCTGGTTTAGCAAAGTTGATTAATCTCTCAAATTTGACACTTTAACTTAGGTAAAAACAGTTTATTTATTTTGGATTGTGTTAAATATAATTATAAAAACTAATTATAAAGCTTTTTTTTCTTCTTTCTTTGTTAATTTAACAAATTATTTTATTTCCAATTTTTGCTTTTATTAATTAATAAATCTTTTTCATATATTTTCTTAATTTTTTCCGACTAATTAACTAATTAATTAAATAATTTTTCTTCATTATTTAAAAAGTGTTAATTAAATTGATGATAAAGGTGCATCCGGCTTAGGTTCTGGTTTAGAAAAGTGCATTAATCTCTCAAATTTGACACTTTAACTTAGGTAAAAACAGTTTATTTATTTTGGATTGTGATATTTTTTTTTTAATAAAACTAATTAAAAACAATAAAGTTTTTTTTCTTTTTCTTTTTATTGTGCTTGCTTTTTTTTCTTCTTTCTTTATTAATTTTACTCATTATTTTATTTTCAAATTTTTCTTTTATTATTAATTAATTAATCTTAATTAACTAATTAATTATATATTTATTCTTCAATATTTAAAAAGTGGCAATTAAATTGGTGATGAAGGTGCATCAAACTTAGGTTCTGGTTTAGGAAAGTGCATTAATCTCTCAAATTTGACACTTTAACTTGAGTAAAAACGTTAATTTATTTCATTTTTTCCTTCTAATTAACTAATTAATGATATATTTATTCTTCAATATTTAAAAAGTTTTAATAAAATTGGTATACTTAGTGAATAAAACTTAGGTTCTGGTTTAGGAAAGTGCATTAATCTCTCAAATTTGACACTTGGCATTAAGTAAAAACAGTTTATTTATTATGGAATGTGATATTTTTAATTATTAAAACTAATTAAAAACAATAAAGTTTTTTTTTTTATTTTTATTGTGCTTGCTTTTTTTTCTTCTTTCTTTGTTAACTAACGGTACGAAAAAAATTTTTTTTTAATTCTAAAAATTTTAGAATAGTGAGGTCAAATTTTATGTGCTAAATTCAAAAATGAAAGAATTTTTTAAATTAAAATTGACCTTGCTATGCTACCTAAAAAAAACTTATTTTCATACCCCCCCCCCCCCTTAACTCATCATTTTATTTTCAAATTTTTCTTTTATTAGCAATTAATAAATCTTATTATTTCATATTTTTTCTTCATTTTTTCCTTCTAATTAACTAATTAATTATATTATTATTCTTCAATATTTAAAAAGGGGCAATTAAATTGGTGTACTTGGTGCATAATAATTAGGTTCTGGTTTAGGAAAGTGCATTAATCTCTAAAATTTGACACTTTAAGTTGGGTAAAAACAGTTTATTTATTTTGGATTGAGATATATTTAATTATGAATACTAATTAAAAACAATAAAACTCTTTTTTCTTTTTCTATTTATTGTGCTTGCTTTTTTTATTAATTCTACTCATCAATTTATTTTAAACTTTTGCTTTTATTATTAATTAATTAATCTTATTATTTCATATTTCTTCATTTTTTCCTTCTAATTAACTATTTAATATTTTTTTCTTCAATATTTAAAAAGGTTCAATTAAATATATTATTTAGGTGCATTAGGCTTAGGTTCTGGTTTACAAAAGTGCAATTATATCACAAATTTGACACTTGGACTTTAGTAAAAACAGTTTATTTATTTTGGATTGTGATATTTTTAACTATTAAAAAAAAAATAAAACAAAAAAAAGCTCTTTAAATTTTATTTGATTTATTCTTTTTTCTTTTTTATACCTCTAATGTTATTTTATTTACTAATTTTAAAAATAATTTTTAATTAAAAAATTTATTTTATTTAGTATTTATTTAAAGTTTACACTAATTTTTAATAAAAGTGAAAATAGTATAAAAGATTCATAATAATCCAAAGTAAATAGCAAGTTTTTTAAATTAAAAAGATTAGTTGCCCTTAAAAACACATTCTAATGATTAAAAAGTGGTAAAAAAAGGATGAATAAATATTAAATGTTTGAATAATTAAATATTATATTTTTTATTATATAATATTTTATCCTAAAATATAAATAGTTAGATAGATAGATTTTATTATTGTTTTTATATTTATATATATCATTCATATTTTGTAAGTTTATAAATAATTTTTTTAAAATAAAAAAATTAAATTATTTAAATAAATTAATTCCTCTTAAGCCAATTCTCTGTTTCTCCAAAAAAAAACGATCAAATCATTTGAAACTTTTAGTGTTATATTATATCTTATTAAATTAATTATAAATGCCAAACTTTTATATGACAGTTATATTTTAATCTTAAATACTATTGATCAATCATATTTCTATCTATTTTTTATTTATCATGATTAATTAAATACTATGATTTAAATAAAACCGGAGAAATCAAATTTTACTTTTTATTTTAACCTTTGTGGTTTTCTAAAAGCTAGTTTGTTTGTTCTACACTAATTTTACTGAACCAATAAAATATAAAATACATATCATACCTATTATTTTTTATTATATTGTATTTATTATTAATAATTATTATTCTATCCTCTAAATTTCAATTTAATAACAAATCCATTCAACTTTTATCATTCAATGATTTATTTATTTGATTTTGAATTTCATCCTTACTTTAATTTTCAAAATTACTCAACTATTAATGCTTCTTTTAAGATATATTTATCTTAGTGCCCAATCAAATAGAAATATAAACATAGATCTTTTTAAGATAGATTTTATTTATATACATCTGAAATTTCAATTTTATAGGAATAATCTGGGTAATTTAATACCTTAAGTTACTATCCTTCTAACCAAACTCTCAACTCTAAAGTACTATTTTCATCTAGCAATTATGTCTTATCTCCTTATACAAATTTATCAATTCCATAACCTCCTTCATATTTCATCTTATTATTTTCTAATTTAAAATAGTAGCTCATTTTATCATTAAATCCCCAATCTCTATTGAAATTCTCATTTTTCATTAATCCTATCACAAATTATCCATTATTTCCCTTTTGAAATTAAATCCTAAATATGTATTTTTTATCTCTTTCCAATATCTAAGAAATGCAATTAGCAGACAAATTTTTATAACTCCCTTAGTAGTTAGTTACATTTATAGAAATTTCAAATTAATTATTCATATTTTTAACTATTTCTATTCGCTAGTCTCCATCATATTAATTGCTTTTCTAAAATTATAGTTCATTCAAGATATTCTTCTCTTTTAACAATAATAAATCAAAGAAAGGAAATTGTTTTAAGGTATTTTCCAATTCAAGTTTTTCAAATCTAAATGATTCTAGTATCTTTTATTGAACTTTGTATGTTTAACTTTTTTCAAAGTTTTATTGGTTTTCATTTAGATTCTATTTCTTTTTTACTATTTTAACAAACTCTTATATATCATTTGTTTCTAGACTCCTCAAAATATTAAAGCTTTATTCTTCAGAGAACATTTCATCTGTGTTTATATTTTTTGAAAATGGATATGTTTCAATTAAGTATCTCATCAAGTTATCTCGATAATTATTTGAGATAAAATTGAATTTGTTATCAATAACATTAAGTAGATTTGATATTTAAAATGAATTCTTAACTGATTAGAGGTGTTAAGGATCATTTTATAATTTGATCAAATGCTCAACATATTCATTTACATTGTTTATTTTCTCATCATTTAATTCTGAAAATCTGATAGCTTTTTTACCTTCTTGATTCATTTTATCAAATGAAATTTATTCAAAAAAGAAACTTAGTTTTTACATTTATTGTCTAATTTGATTCAAAAACTCTTCACTGCAATAATTGGTTTTGTTAGAAATTAATTTTATTAATTAATCTATTTTATTATTATCTTGTTATGGTAATATATTATTATTTAAGTTATTATCAGAGCTGACTTGACTTTATGTTTAATCTTCAAAAAAGTTAAGCGAATCTAAAAAATCTAAAAAAAATATTTTGCTTTTGTTTAATCTGTCAAAATCGATTAATTGTTGAATTTTGTCACATTGATTGAGCAACTCTTAAAGCAACTGTGTATTTTTAGCTTTATTTAACTCTACTTACTAAATGAAGTCTTTGCATGATTATTGGTAGAGCGCAAAAGACTTATTCTAGTCTTGCATGAGTAGTGATTTTAAGTTTTGAATTTAAGAAATTTCTTAATACCTTTTCAAAATTTACTCTTTACCAAAAGGCATTTCGAGAGCTTGATTGATTGCTTTTTTCTAAGCAACATCGATTTTTTTAATGATTTCATCTTTTAGCGAAGTGAAATAAGAATTGATTTAATTGAGGACGCTTTATGTTGAATTGAGATTCTTAGACTTCAAATGAATATTCTGAACGATCTGCTAATCATTGAGAGGTGGCCATTTATAATGAAAATCAGAATCTGAATTTTCAATAATTTTTTATATGAGCATGTAATTGGCACCTCTAAATTGTAAATCTTATTCGAAGCAATCAACACATTAGAATATGTTAGAGTTAGGAAGGGATGAAATTTCATTAACTTAGATAAAAGCAAGTTTATTTTGAGGATGAAAGATACAAGTTTATTGAATAGGAATATTTTTATGAGCTAATTAATCCATTTATTTGATTGATTGAATGTGCTTAGATATATTAATTACTAAAAAACTTAAAATCTTAAATGTTTGAAATTTTTTTGATTTATTAAATAAAAATCAGAAGATTGAAATCTAATCATAGAAAGCAAAAAAGAAATAAGTAAATAAATAATTTAAGATTACTTATAAGAATATTTAATGTAAATTAAAAAAAAGAAGTAATATTATATATATAGTACCCTAGGGTACTGCCTTTTTCAAGGCTAAATACACGAATATTAATAAGATTTATAACAATTTTTTATTTATTATTGATAAAAACTCTTATTGTTTTTTAGACTGAATGTTATTATTATACACTTATATAAAATTAGTAAAATAGAGAGTATTTAATTTTACAATTTCAAAATATTGTTTTTCTTTTCTTTTTTTACATAATTAAAAATATACATGGTTATTGCTTTTAATTATTTTAATAAATTGAGAGCTGAAATATGGATTAATCTTTTTATTCAGTATTTATTTAGTGAATAAAAAAATTAAAACAGATCTAATAGTTAGTTTGCTTTACACTAATTTTACTGAACCAATAAAATATTAAATACATATCATGCCTATTATTTTATCACTACATTGTATTTATTATTAATGATTATTATTCGATCCTCTATATTTCAATTTATAAACAAAATTCATTCTACTATTATCATTCATTCATTTATTTATTTGATTTTAAATTTCATCCTTAATTTAATTTTCAAAATTACTCAACTATTAATGCTTCTTTTAATATATATTTATCTTAGTGCCCGTATAAATAGAAATATAAACATAGATCTTTTTAAGAAAGATTTTATTTATATTCATCTGAAATTTCAATTTTATAGGAATAATCTGGGTAATTTAATACCTCAAGTTACTATCCTTCTAACCAAACTCTCAACTCTAAAGTACTATTTTCATCTAGCAATTATGTCTTATCTCCTTTTACAAATTTATCAATTCCATATTATCCATGGTATTTCATCTTATTATTTTCTGATTTAAAATAGTAGCTCATTTTATCCTTAAATCCTAAATCTCTATTGAAATTCTCATTTTTCATTAATCCTATCATAAAGTAACCATTATCTACCTTTTGAAATTAAATCCTAAATATGTATTTTTTATCTCTTTCTAATATCTAAGAAATGCAATTAGTACTCTAATTAAAAATCGAGTTGTAGTTAGTTTCATTTATAGAAATTTCAAATTAGTTATTCGTATTTTTAAGTATTTCTATTCGCTACTTTCCATCTCCTAAATTGCTTTTTTAAAATTATAATTCATTCAAGATACTCTTCCCTTTTAACAATAAAAATTCAAAGATAGGAAATTGTTTTAAGGTATTTTCCAATTCAGGTTTTTCAAATCTAAATGATTCTAGTATTTTTTATTGAACTCTGTATGTTTAACTATTTTCAAAGTTTTATTGGTTTTCATTTAGATTCTATTTCTTTTTTACTATTTTAACAAACTCTTTTATATAATCTGTTTCTAGACTCCTCAAAATATTAAAGTTTTATTCTTCAGAGAACATTTAGTGTGTGTTTAATTTTTTAAAAAATGGGTATGTTTCAATTAAGTATCTCATCAAGTTAGCTCTATAATTATTTGAGATAAAATTGAATTTGTTATCAAAAACATTGATTAGATTTTATATTTAAAATGAATTCTTAACAGATTAGAGGTGTTAAGGATCATCCTATATTTTGATCAAATGCTCAACATATTCATTTACACTGTTTATTTTTTCATCATTTAATTCAGAAAATCTGATAGCTTTTTTTCCTTCTTGATTCATTTTGTCAAATGAAATTTATTCAAAAAAGAGACTTAGTTTTTACATTTATTGTCTAATTTGATTCAAAAATTCTTCACTGCAATAATTTGTTTTATTAGAAATTAATTTCATTAATTAATCTATTTTATTATTATTTTGTTATAGTAAAATATTATTATTTAATTTATTATCATAGCTGACCTAACTTTATGTTTAATCTTCAAAAAATTTAAGCTAATCTAAAAAATCTAATAAAAATATTTTGCTTTTATTTAATTTGTCAAAATCGATTAATTGTTGAATATTATCGCATTAATTGAGCAACTCTTAGAGCATCTGTGTATTTTTAGCTTTATTTAACTCTACTTACTAAATGAAGTCTTTACACTATTTTTGGTAGAGTTCAAAAGACTTATTCTATTCTTATATGAGCAGTTTTTTTAAACTTTGAATTTAAGATATTTCTTGATACCTTTTCAAAATTTACTCTTTGCCAAAAGGCATTTCGAGAGCTTAATTGATTGCTTTTTTCTAAGCGACATCAATTTTTTTAAAGATTTCATCTTTTAGCGAAGTGAAATAAGAATTGATTTAGTTGAGGACGCTTTATGTTGAATTGATATTTTTAGCTTTCAAATGAATATTCTGAACGATCTGCTAATCATTGAGAGGTGGCCATTGATAATGAAAATCAGATTCTGAATTTTCAATAATTTTTTAGATGAGCATGTAATTGGCACCTCTAAATTGTAAATCTTATGCAAAGCAATCAACACATTAGAATATATTAGAGTTAGGAAGGGATGAAATTTCATTAACTTAGATAAAGGCAAGTTTATTTTAAGGATGAATAATACAATTTTATTGAATAGAAATACTGTTGGGAGCTAATTAATCCATTTATTTTATTGATTGAATGTATTTAGATATATTAATTACCACAAAACTTAAAATCTTAAATTATTATGATTGTTTTGATTTATTAAATAAAAATCAGAAGATTGAAATCTTATCATAGAAAGCAAAAAACAAATAAGTAAATAAACAAATAAAAATAAATATATAAATATTGGAATTTAGCATTTTACATTAAAAATATGTGTTAAATGTAAAATAGAAAGATAAATAAATTAATAGATATTTTATGAAAATTTTAATGGTTATCTCTACCTTTTATTTAAAAAGTTTGGTTGTTTTATTTCTAGAATTTTAAACATTATATCTATGGATATTTTAAAATAAGAGCTTATTAAAAATATTTGAATTCTAAATTGGATTCATATAGCTAAAAAAAAAAATGTATTTTTTGAAAATATTTTGTAATTGATTTTTTTTAAATGGAAATAATATTTAATCAAATAAATTTTTTTTGAATAATATTATAATATATTTTTTTTTAGATTTTTAATTGCATGTCCAACGAAAAAAATATTTATTTGAAAAAAAACTTACGAAGAAAAATAACGAACAAAAAAATTAAAACAGATCTAATAGCAAATTTGTTTTACACTCATTTTACTTGACCAATAAAATATATAATATATTATGCCTGTTATATTTTTACTACATTGTATTTATTATTAATAATTATTATTCTAACCTCTATATTTCAATTTATAAACAAATTCATTCAAATATTATTATTTTGAATTTCTTCCATACTTTAATTTTCAAAATTACTCAACTATTAATGCTTCTTTTAAGATTTATTTATCTTAGTGCCCTCTAAATAGAAATATAAACATAGATCTTTTTATGATAAATTTTATTTAAATTTATCTTAAATTTCAACTTTATAGGAATAATCTGGGTAATTTAATACCTCAACTTACTTTCCTTCTAACCAAACTCTCAACTCTAAAGTACTATTTTCATCTAACAATTATGTCTTATCTCCTTTAACAAATTTATCTATTCCATAACCTCCATAGTATTTCATCTTTTTATTTTCTAATCTAAAATAGTAGCTCATTTAATCATTATATCCATAATATCTATTGAAATTCTCATTTTTCATTAATCCTATCATAAAATAATTAGGATCATTTCTCTTTTCAAATTAAATCCTAAATATGTATTTTTTATCTCGTTCCAATATCTAAGAAATGCAATTAGTAATACCTTTATTACTCCCTTAGTAGTAAGTTTAATTTATAGAAATTTCAAATTAATTATTCATATTTTTAACTATTTCTATTCGCTAGTTTCCATCATATAAATTGCTTTTCTAAAATTATAATTCATTCAAGATACTCTTCTCTTTTAACAATAATAATAAATCAAAGATAGGAAATTGTTTTAAGGTATTTTCCAATTCACGTTTTTCAAAAATAAATGATTCTAGTATTTTTTATTGAACTCTGTATGTTTAACTATTATCAAAATTTTATCCGTTTTCATTTAGATTCTCTTTCTTTTTTACTATTTTAACAAACTCTTTTATATAATTTGTTTCTAGACTCCTCAAAATATTAAAGCTTTATTCTTCAGAGAACATTTCGTCTGTGTTTATATTTTTTGAAAATGGATATGTTTCAATTAAGTATCTCATCAAGTTATCTCGATAATTATTTGAGATAAAATTGAATTTGTTATCAAGAACATTGAGTAGATTTGATATTTAAAATGAATTCTTAACTGATTAGAGGTGTTAAGGATCATCTTATAATTTGATCAAATGCTCAACATATTCATTTACATTATTTATTTTCTCATCATTTAATTCTGAAAATCTGATAGCTTTTTTACCTTCTTGATTCATTTTGTCAAATGAAATTTATTCAAAAAAATGACTTAGTTTTTACAATTATTGTCTAATTTGATTTAAAAACTCTTCACTGCAATAATTGGTTTTGTTAGAAATTAATTTCATTAATTAATCTATTTTATTATTATCTTGTTATGGTAATATATTATTATTTAAGTTATTATCAGAGTTGACTTGACTTTATGTTTAATCTTCAAAAAAGTTAAGCGAATCTAAAAAATCTAATAAAAATATTTTGCTTTTGTTTAATCTGTCAAAATCGATTAATTGTTGAATTTAGTCGCATTGATTGAGCAACTCTTAAAGCAGCTGCGTATTTTTAGCTTTATTTAACTCTACTTACTAAATGAAATCTTTACACTATTTTTGGTAGAGCGCAAAAGACTTATTCTAGTCTTGCATGAGCAGTGATTTTAAGTTTTGAATTTAAGATATTTCTTGATACCTTTTCAAAATTTATTCTTTGCCAAAAGGCATTTCGAGAGCTTGATTGATTGCTTTTTTCTAAGCGACATCGATTTTTTTAATGATTTCATCTTTTAGCTAAGTGAAGTAGGAATTGATTTAATTGTGGACGCTTTATGTTGAATTGAAATTCTTAGCTTTCAAATGAATATTCTGAACAATCTGCTAATCATTGAGAGGTGCCATTTATAATGAAAATCAGAATCTGAATTTTCAATAATTTTTTAGATGAGCATGTAATTGGCACCTCTAAATTGTAAATCTTATTCGAAGCAATCAACACATTAGAATATGTTAGAGTTAGGAAGGGATGAGATTTCATTAACTTAGATAAAAGCAAGTTTATTTTGAGGATGAAAGATACAATTTTATTGAATAGGAATACTATTTGGAGCTAATTAGTCCATTTTATTTGATTGATTAAATAAGCTTAGATACTTTTTAATACAAAACTTAAAATCTTAAATTTTAGAGATTATTTTGATTAATTAAATAAAAATCAAAAGGTTGAAATTTTATCTTAGAAAGCAAAAAAGAAATAAGTAAATAAATAAAGATTATATATATTATTTAATGTATATCTTATAAAAAGAAGTAATATTCTAATTAAAAATATTTGAATTTTAAATTAGATTATAGTTTTATTATGTTTACTCTCTTTGATGAAAAAATATCTACGAACATTTTGATCAACCTAGTAATTAATAAAACTATAAAAAAAATAAATAAATGATGTAATTTAAAATATTAAATTTTATTTTTATAATAATAAAAAAAGGCATAAATACCTAACTAAATTTATAAATTTTTATTTATATAATGAAATTTATAGCTTATCCACTCCACGTAAGTCCTATAAATAAAGTATCTTATAAATTCAGAGTAGAATATTAATGAAAAAACAGCTTAACTTCTGTACTTATCAGAGTAAATTCTTTAGATTGTTAAAAAATAAGAAGAGAGCTTAGATAAAACTTAAAATCAACAATTTACAGTTATAATTAAGTCTTTATATTCCAATTATTTCTTTGAAATAAGTAATTTTTTAAGAAAGTGCTTTATAAATATTTATAATCATTTTTAATTTGTTGTTATTTCTAATATTATCTTAACTTATTTAAAAAAAATGAATTATAAAAATATTTATTCAAAAAAAAAAGGTGAAGAAAAATTAGATAAAGATAATTAAAAAAATTATCATGGCTAGTTTGTTTTACACTAATTTTATTGAGCAAAATAAAATATAAAATAAATATTATATATTATTTTTTTAGTGCAGAGTATTTATTATTAATAATTATTATTCTAACCAAAATATATAAATTTATAAACAAATTCATTTAACTATTATTTTTAAATCATTCATTAATTCATTTATTTATTATTTATTTAATTTTAATTTCTTTCATACTTTAATTTTCAAAATTACTCAACTATTAATGCTTCTTTTAAGATATATTTATCTTAGTGCCCAATCAAATAGAAATATAAACATAGATCTTTTTAAGATAAATTTTATTTAAATTCATCTTAAATTTCAACTTTATAGGAATAATCTGGGTAATTTAATACCTCAAGTTACTATCCTTCTAGCCAAACTCTCAACTCTAAAGTACTATTTTCATCTAACAATTATGTAAAATCTCCTTTTACAAATTTATCTATTCCATATTATCCATTATATTTCATCTTATTATTTTCTAATTTAAAATAGTAGCTCATTTTATCATTAAATCCATTCCTTCTATTGAAATTCTCATTTTTCATTAATCCTATCATAAGTAAACCATTATTTCCCTTTTGAAATTAAATTCTAAATATATATTTTTTATCTCTTTCCAGTATCTAAGAAATGCAATTAGTAGAATTACTTTTATAACTCCCTTAGTAGTTAGTTTAATTTAAAGAAATTTCAAATTAATTATTCATATTTTTAACTATTTCTATTCGCTAGTTTCCATCTTAAAAATTGCTTTTCTAAAATTATAGTTGATTCAAGATATTCTTCCCTTTTAACAATAATAAATCAAAGATAGGAAATTGTTTTAAGGTATTTTCCAATTCAGGTTTTTCAAAACTAAATGATTCTAGTATTGTTTATTGAACTCTGTATGTTTAACTATTATCAAAGTTTTATTGGTTTTCATTTAGATTCTATTTCTTTTTTACTATTTTAACAAACTCTTTTATATAATTTGTTTCTAGACTCCTCAAAATATTAAAGCTTTATTCTTCAGAGAACATTTCATCTGTGTTTATATTTTTTGAAAATGGATATGTTTCAATTAAGTATCTCATCAAGTTATCTCGATAATTATTTGAGATAAAATTGAATTTGTTATCAAGAACATTGAGTAGATTTGATATTTAAAATGAATTCTTAACTGATTAGAGGTGTTAAGGATCATCTTGTAATTTGATCAAATGCTCAACATATTCATTTACACTGTTTATTTTCTCATCATTTAATTCTGAAAATTTGATAGCTTTTTTACCTTCTTGATTCATTTTGTCAAATGAAATTTATTCAAAAAAGAGACTTAGTTTTTACATTTATTGTCTAATTTGATTCAAAAACTCTTCACTACAATAATTAGTTTTGTTAGAAATTAATTTCATTAATTAATCTATTTTATTATTATCTTGTTATGGTAATATATTATTATTTAAGTTATTATCAGACTTGACTTGACTTTATGTTTAATCTTCAAAAAAGTTAAGCTAATCTAAAAATTCTAATAAAAATATTTTGCTTTTGTTTAATCTGTCAAAATCCACTAATTGTTGAATTTTGTCACATTGATTGAGTAACTCTTAAAGCAGCTGCGTATTTTTAGCTTTATTTAACTATACTTACTAAATGAAGTCTTTACACGATTTTTGGTAGAGCGCAAAAG